TGGCTGTGCCCCCTCCCAGCTTCTTGTGCACCTCCAGCCTTCTCAGTCGGTAGAGCATGGGAAGCTGAAAAGTCCTTGCCTAGTGTAAGCATTACCTAGCAACAACTAAAACGTCGGTGTGTTATCAACTTTGTTCTCATCCTAAATCCAAAACACTGTACCAGCTACTAGAAAGGAAATTAACTCTATCCCTGCCGAAACCAGGACAAATACTCATGGAGACTGAAAGTTCTCTGCTCTGTCAACTTCAGCAAAGGCATATGCATGGTAACCACGTCAGACCTAGGTCTGGGAGAGTATGTTTTCCTACTGTTAACAGTGGTAGTTCCCGTAAGGGAACTGCTAGCGGGGCAGTGTACTTCTTGATTCAAAAGTTACGTAAGCTTACCCACATTTCGAAGTTTCCTAACCCTGTCTTTCAGAGATCAAGTCGAAATTTGGAGCCACAAAAGGTCCAAATGATATTTGAAAATGTTCTGAAGAGTTATTACTCATAAATCTGATCTTTTTAAGCCAACCTTGGGATTATTTGGAGTTGATTTATCCTTTCTGAACTCCATGTTGACAAAATACTGATGGAGAGGATAGAAAATACAGGGTGCCTAGGAGCTAGGAACAGTTAATACGAATTGGAAATGGGCAGTCTCGAAGAAATAAAAATGACAGCAAAACAGTAAAGGAGGAACAAATGAATTCTAAGTGAATTTCCAATGCTGGAGACTGCAAGGTGTGACTATCTGGTTTAAAAAAATGTTTTCTTCTTTAAATGTAGAATGTTCATTGGGAAGAAAAAAATTTCTTAGTTGTTGATTTTGTTGTACCAACAGCTACCTCTGCTGGCCCAGTTCCTTATATGCATTTAATGTTTTGGTGGGTTTTTTTTCTTTTCATACATGTACACAAAATCTAAATCACTTCTCAGTGCATCAAATATCACATCACAGTTCAACACTCAGCTAGTTACTGGAAACTCCAATAATTGAAAGTTTGTTTATTCTGGGCTTGAGAAGCAAAACTCCCCTGTAGTAATTTATCTTCAATCAACTTTCCCTTGCTTGTAAACCTGTTCAATTTTTCAGCACAAATACAGGGTTAATTAAAAAAATTAAGGCGGAAAATGCTGTGAAGTTAATGGGGTAGGTGTAATATAGGAAGGTTCTTTTTACTTGAACATTTAAAAATACGGATTACATTTCCTATCTGCGGTGTCCTTTTAAAGCCATTAGAAAGATAGTCTGCCTCCGAGGGTGTTTTCCGTTTATTTCCCGTTCTGCATTTTTGTTTCCCCGTGTGGGTTATGCATTCCCATGGCTGTCAAACTGCCTGCAGTTGGTGCCATTTGCAGACATTCACAAAGAGAAGGGAATGCCAAGGCATCCCTGCCATTTTCTGATGCGTTTCCTGTGATGCACTTCGGTAGAAAGAAAAGAATGAGCAAATTTCTTTTTTTCTCTGAACCGCTGGATGTCACTGCTACCCCAGCCAAAATGAAGGTCAGCAGTAAACCCGAGGTTGTTTCTGCAGTAAAAGATTTGGATAACAAAGATGCCGGGAACAGGCCGCTGTAGATTCCGATTAGGGTAGAAGAAAGCTGTTAGAAAACACGTCTACTCCTGCCATCTTTTTACTTGTGTGGATGTTTTCCTTTTTAAAATAAGAAACTTAAAGGAAGGATATACTGTGTTGAATGATACAATCTGTGGTGTATAGATATTTCTAAATGAGTCTGGAGGGAACAAATTATTATCAGACACACTGTAATCCTTACTAATGTCTAACGTTTTAGTAATACTAATTTTAGATACTGCCAGTGTGTGAGAGGCTTCCTTTATCCCCCCGAGTTCTGTCAGAGGCTGATTTAGTGGAGCCGGAGTAGACAGGTGCAATAGCCACTTGGTAACAGCAGAGAGAGCTGGGGAGATGGAGAAAAGACTGCGGAGAAATGATAAATAAAGTTAAATCACTGATTCAGTCTAATCCACTCTAATTTTATTTGATATCTGAATAGTTCCATCCTAATTTTTTATTCTTCCAATTGAGCTCGAAAACGTTATGAAGGTTTTCCCTAAAACATTTCTACTTTCTCTTTTAAGTCCAGCTACTGGTTTCTTAGTATTTGAAGTTGTGTAAAGCCTCTCTAGCTTCTGTGGGCTTTTCTTCCCGCACACCCCTGTCTCTCTTAACCTCATAATTCTCAAAACCACATGATAATTCCAACTTTAACTCTGATTTCCAGAAACCTCCCTGCAAAAATAGAAATTTCTTCCACTGAAAAGTTGTGTTTGATGGTAATGATAACGCTGAGCAGGTACAGTGGAACTGGTGAATAGCTCTGGTCATGCCATTTTCCACCAGCCG